GCTGAAGCTTTCGGGAAAAAATATATTATTGATATTACGTGCATTTTTAATACTGTAATATTGTGAAGATTAGGAGAGAATTGTTCGGGGCGACTTTTCGCATGCATACGAAGTGTCAAGGTGGTCGGCAAGCCCGTGCGAGCACTTGCGCAGCCCAAGGAAACTTCATCTTGAACCCATCATGTAGATTTGCGAAGCTCCCTTACGGTAGGGACGATGTGATAGTTCAACATTATCAGTGCGTGGTTCTGCTTTCCAGGAGGGCTCTACGCTGAGGGCCTTTAACAAAAAGAGCTCCTGGATGGCAAGAACAGACACATCGAAGGTACCGCCGCCCATGTCGAACACAAGTATGTTCGTCTCCTCCAGAGTCAAACTTGGGAGATGGCCGCTGCCCCGGCAACAAAAGTCTAGCACAAAAGGCCAATTTGCTCGGACGTTTCGTGTCCTTGTCCGGCTTCTTTCCTTCGGCCGAGTCCTTGTCCAAACCATACCTCTAGAGCATGTCGCTATTGCGCTGCAGAGGCTGCTGTTTCGTGCTAGTCGCTTTAAGCCAATTGAGAAAGCTGCTGTTATGGCTCGCGTTCCCCTTGCCGCTCTGCACTCAGCTCACGAATTTCGATCGCCCAAACTGGGAAGCATGTTTTCCTCGTATTGGCGCGACTGATATGGGTACAGCAATACAGCAAAGCCACTACCGTGGTGATGAGAAATCGGAGTGATTCAAACAGTGCCAACAATGACAACAAGACGAGTAACAGAAGCCTACCACGGATAGTGGGAATGCCCACTCTGAGAACACAACAGCAAGACACATGACGAAAGAGGGGCTTGAATGTGTAACATTGAGTGATCTGAAATTCAATACAGCCGTACTACATACTACTGTGTCTTATATCTCGCGAGATGAACAGCCGCCTACTGAATCTTTGTAGTAGCTTAGTACCTATGCCAAACACCGCAGCATCAACCTTGGTATTCATGAAAACATATGAAGTCTGCGGACAGCGATATCCGTCGGCACTGCAGCAGTCTCAACCGGAATTACATATAGCTTTCACGGCAACTGCCAGACTGTTGGAGAAACGGCCGAGGTGCGCGATGGCTGCAGCTGTCGGCTCGTTCACGATTCTTAAGACCCGCCTGGGATGAAGAGAGCCGCAGAAATCACAGACACTGCAGAAGACCGAGATGCGTACATATACGCGTACGTGTTGCATCGAGCATATATGCACACGCCCCCGGCCTCTTGGCTTAAGGCTTCAGGGCCGGGCCGATGGGCGGGATACCGTGGCGTGGCAGGGGTGGGAGGGCGTGGGCCGGGTGTCCCGGGGGGGACCGAGAACGTACAGCCGCACAGCACAACCAAACCTGCACGTCTGCATGTGGGATTGCTCCTTAGCATCAGGTTAGTACACAGCCGTGTCGTTGCTTGGCCTTGTTTGGGGTATAGAGATCGAGAGACATGCAACTTGCTTTGATATGGAAGACTTGCTCCAATACCGTTACGGACTCAATCAACATCCCGAAAGTCACTCGCATGGCTACATAGTCTCATCGTTCACAATATTTGACGGTATGTTACTACAACATCTCAAACGTAGCGTCGCCATCACAGCAGCAGCTGCACAAATGTTCTATCGAATACCTGTCCTGTTTGTGCATAGATGATCTCAGTTGCAGGTTCCCCCCCCCTCCACCACCGCCACCACCGGCCACCGCGGGGAACAGATTCACATGCCTGTGGCGGTCTACACATTTCTGCTGTGAGTTATGACTTGAGATGACATAAGATGACAGGATTCAATATGACGTCGCTTGGCATGGCACTGCACGAGTGTATAGATCTACGCATGTACGTGACTATATGTGCGTTTGTCAGTGTGGATTTGTGGGATGTATATTTGGATGTATGCGTGCATGTATATATGCAGGTCTGTCAGTCTGTCTGTCTGTCTGTATGTATTTGTGGATATTTTGTGAAGTTCTGTGTGGATGCATTCATGCATGGTGTTTATGTATGTGTATACTGATATATGTGTGTATGTACACACACACAGAGAGTCAAGGTGGGGAGAGGGAGACACAGAGAGAGAGAGAGAGAGTCCGAGAGAGAGAGAGAGAGAGAGAGAGAAGGATTACACAATGACCGCGGTATCTCTTGCGACGTTGCGGGAATCCTCCCAGAGGAGATCTAACGGTTTTTGTCCTGTCATAGTCCGGGCTGCATGCCTGCGATCTCGCCTGCATCCTTCGTTGCTTGGCGCTGGGCGTCATTGAAGTACGCTGGGACTGTGATCACCGCATCCTTGACCTTCGTCGACTGACATCTTTATCTGGCTGGAACTCACAATGCATAGCATGTCGTTCCTCGCATATTGTACTGTCTCTGCTTTATCCGTCGCCTCTATGCGAAAGCTGTGGGAGCCCCCAACCTCTGTCGATAACCCGGAACACAACGACGACACTTCTCGAGTTGAACAGCGTGGGTTTCCATGGTGACCCAGAAACTGTGCATAATGACTGCGGCCACAGCTGCGCGATGTCCAAGGTATGCCTGTCAAGGGTATCTGAAGCAGATGCCCCAAACAGTGCCAACAATCGGCAGTGCTCATTTCAGTTCTCTCCGTCTCAGGCCGCACACTTACTTGTCACCAAAGGCTTTTCGGAGCATCGCCCAGCGGGAACAGGAGTGCAACGACCGACAAGTCTGCTTCCCCATGCTGTTAAAGACATGCCTCAGCCGTCGTCTTCATTTTCGTGAGGATCATAGAGCTAATCTCTTCTGGATGAAACTTCTTCACGACGTTCTGGTAAAGCACTTCCTTGGCATCACGGGCTTGGCGTGTACTTCGATGTTGGACAGTTACATCGAGAGACAGCCGAGCTAGATAGGCTTACCAGAACAATGTACTATGTCATTATCAGCATTGCAGGTTACACAGACCTATATCTATCTCTGTGTATATCTGCATATGCAGATAGACGTCGATGAGGGCTGTTTGTGTGTGCGTGTTTTTCCTCTGCCTACCGAAGACTTGATCCGGAAGATCTGCAAGCCAAATCCCCGAAGTGCCGGAAAGTCCTTTTACCTAAACCCTAAACCCTGTAAGCCCTATATCCCAAACCCCATAAGCCCTAGGCCCTAAACCCTAAAGCCCTATAAGCCCTAAACCCTAAAACCCCATAAGCCCTAAGCCCTATTAAATTATAAATCCTAAACCCCTGGAGACCTGCCGCAGGCTCTATCAGCGGCTTGTCGTCCTTCGTGCCGTCGGAGACCACTCTGAAAGGCCAGAGCTTTAGGTCGGCCTGCCAGGAAAAAACCAGAAGCCGGTGAGAGCAAAAGGGTTTAGGGCTTTTAGGGTTTAGGGCTTATAGGGTTTAGGGTTTAGGAGTTTAGGGTTTAGGGTTTAGGGGTTTAGGATTTAGGAGTTTAGAGTTTAGGGGTTTAGGGTTTAGGGTTTAGGGGAAGATCAAGTCAGTCAAAAGTCCTGTTTTTGCGTGCGGTCTGTGGCAAGCTCTCAGCAGAAGTGGTCGAAATCAGGCTGAATCGAAACGGAATACATCGGAATGTGCAAAGAGCTGGAAGGCTGCGGACCAGGTTCGCAGTCTTGATGGGCAATGCAAGGCACTGCAGTCAACCCTGGCTCCTACACTATGCTGGGGCTTCGACATGCTCACTCGGTCTATTGATATATTGCGAGCCCACCTGCACGATCGGATCATCGAAGCGCCTTCCGATCAAACGCTTAGCATCGAAGACAGTGTTGGTCGGATTGCTGGCCACCTGAAGTTCCGGCGAAGGCTTCATGCCGTGGTGGGCAAAGTGATCTGGACTAAACGCGTTAGCAGCAACAGCCAACACCCAAACCTGCTCGAGTTGAGAATCACCAACCACCCTGAAGCCGACACATCCCTACACCCCAAAAATATCCCCGGTGAAAGAAGCACCTGGTTCTTGGCTGCATCTCCCAAGAGCCGCTCCTGAAGCAGTAGACTGGGATTACTGAGCTCTTCAGCGGTTGTTCGGGTTTAGGGTTTAGGGGTTTAATTAGGGAAGTTTAGGGGTTTGGGGTTTAGGCTTTATGGGTTTAGGGTTTAGGGGTTTAGGGTTTAGCGCTTTAGGGGTCTCGCACTCGGACAATCCACGCGAGGCAAATGACAACAAGTCCGCAGCGAAGAATAGGAAGACCACGCATGGCACTTCGTGAGAGAAAGAACCACGACACCTGCCCCAGGGGTATTTGTTGCCGCCCACCTAGCTAGGACAAGCCCGCATTGCAGGCTTCAGTCGAAAGAGATGCTTCGACTCACACACTCGCACTCGGCTGGCATGGCGTTAGGGGGTCAGAGCTTTGCGCTTTGGTGACCGGCTTTAGAAGATGAAACCTGTATCCCCAGAAAAAGCAACTGTCTCGTTGCCTCTTTTGCACCAGCTCCTATTCCAACCGACCAATGACATCGGTGCCCCAGGCCCCTTCCGTGGTCCTGTTCTGTCCACGCGACATAAGACGGTGTGGTGCGGTTGCCCTGGTCATTCCTGAGCCCCCATCCAGGATTTAGTTTAGGGTGCATGACCTTCAGCGCCGACTTGCTTCTTTTTTTGGGAGGGTGTATCTCAGCATTACTATGTCATCAAAGGGTTCACGGGCATGGTTGGAGCTGGCAGCTTTCCGATTGGAAGTTGCAGCAGGGAATCGCGCTGGACAAAATCCGGGTGCTCGGATGTCGTGATGGAAGATATAACTATAATGATAAGCCTTGACTTCTGTGCTCCTTGATTCCGTGAGGCCGTGAGTAAAGTGAGCTTCACTCCCCTCGCTGCTGCCGATACCAGTCTGATGATAATCGTTTAGTTGGGTTACAACCATATACGTCCACAGAATCAAAAACCACTTTATTTGCAGGAAGCAGTACGGTAACACCCTCACTATGGAGTCGCGCCACACTCAACCACCATCCCTGAAATGTCGCAGAGTTTACACCGTCGAACAAGCACAGCACATTGAAGGGGTCTTCACCAACCGCGTGCAAAGCCAAAGCTCGCAATGATCTGCACCTCTCCATCTTTGTAGACCTGGGCTCCAAAGTCCGGTCTGATACTTGACGAAGCGCATAGCGCGTTCAAGCTACCCCATACCCGGCAGCCGGAAGGAAGACATGGAACCATGTGGAAGGGACGGTGCTGACCCGACACTGTGCTATGATGTATTATGCACGACCAGCCCAAAGGCTAGGCCTGACCTGACCATAAATTGCGTGTTGAAACGACTGTCTTAAGGAAGGAACATGACCACAAAGCCCGTGACACATCCCCCGTCCTAACTTAATCCAGCCATCGAGTTCCAGGACCTTCCACCGAAACTCCTCTAATTTCTTGTGTCACGGGCCAAATCCTAGAAGCTGCAAATATGCCGGCAGGAGTCTCCAACACAGGAGTACGTGGTACCCAGATCAATGCCCACTGCGTGGGTCTTAGCATCCTCTTCTGACGCAGGCTGCATGGCTTGGCAGGGCCAAGCTCCTTAAGTAAGCCGCACGAACATGTTCAACTTGCATGGATAAAACGCGATATATGCTGCTGCGAGTGTGGGCTCGTTCCATGCAGTAGTTGAGAGGCCATCTGTGAAACAACCTGAGGGTCTTGGGAGCGTTCCTGTGATTGCCTTCGGAACTATTCCGGTGCCGGAAGTTTCCAGGTGCTAGACTGGGCTAGCTGCTAAATTTGGGCCGTGCCAAAAATTTCAGTCAGTGCCAAGCTCACGCATCTAGGGGTCTGAATGAATGAATACTAGCATACACTTTCTCGTCTCTCTAGATCAAGGCCCCCCCAAATCTGGTCATGGTTCAACTTCCGCACCAGCTTTGAACCAAAAGGCTTCCAGGATCCGGTTGATCTGCATAGCTTGGTAATATTAAGATTGAGGCCTGGGGATTGATGCAATCGGTCATGCGGACTGTAACGATTCGAGGCACGAATGAATCCGAGTCAGCCATCACTTGGGGATAAGGGTTCTGGCTAAGGATGCATCCGGTGATATTACGACACTGTTTGCTGGCAAATCTAGAGGCAGAGCCCTCTTTTCAGCACTTCAGGCTTCAAGATAGCTTCGAGTCAGAGTCTTCAGCTCTAGACCCCTCAATTCTGGACCCTGCGGATGAAGGGCCACCGCCATCTCGTTCCTTGGGCAGCCAGGCTATTCTAGCAAGGAAGCAGCATCGGTCTGGATCTGGTATATTGCACAGAAAGCCGTGGCAATCAATGAGCGAGCTGCCGGCGATTCAGAATCTCTTGCTGCATTTCCAGGCGTGGTGCCTCGGCATTGCGCTACCTCCCATCTTTCCCCTCTTCAAAGAACTCTGGTCAAACCTACATGTGCAAGAAGTTCAGGTTGCTCTCGACATAACGTTAAAAGATGCGCAACTTCACAACATCAGGCGAGAGCGTCCCTCAATCGCTGGAACGCTAGTTTGAATTGATTCAGCCCTCCCCCCACCTGATAATTGAACTATGTCCAAGACCATTGCCTCAACCCAGAGGCTGAGCTGCTTGACAGGCTTCGAGGTCTTACACATCGGAATACATCGGAATCTTCGGGGTTAGGACCTTTCAAGCACCCCTTTTTCAGCATGGGCTTGGGTTAACTTGAAAATACCCTTTCGAACGAGGTCTCTGAAGTGCCCCCCTACGAGCCTAAACCCTAAACTCCAAAAGCCCTAAACCCTAAAGCCCCAATTGCTTCGTCGATGAGAAGACCTGCCCGGGAGCTCGGCTCTGCTTTGTCGAGGGCTCCTGCACAAGAAATCAGGGCCAATCACAGTCTTTAGGGTACTGTCAGGGTTTCTAGAAGGCATACTATAACGATCTATAACGCTATAAGATGTACTTTAAGGGTTGATCTATACTATATACATATATATATATAACTAACTCAGTTGCAGCGCAAGCTCCTTCTCGTCTGCTTCCGTCTGGGCTTGGCCATCCGGCGGACCGGCCTGACGAGGTGAATCGACTTCACTTAGCACTTGGGTGAAGTGTGTGGAATCCACGCAGTGCCATCAGAAGCCCAAAACAACTCGCAGCACCTGACAGCTCAACATGGATTTGACTCAAGGACACTGGACACTCCAAAAGGCGCCGTACATCTCAGCATCATCTCAGGAGCCAAAATGAGGAGACACGGGCTGCGGGCCTTTCGCTCTCTCCGCCTCTGCCTCCTGCGTCGACATGCAGGGAAGACAAGCAAATCGTGCCAATCTGCCTCACGGGCTCCGTGCCAGATACACTTCACTTTGCATGTTCAACCACCTCACGAATCAATCAATTTTAAATTATATGTTGAGATGCCTTCGGCTTTAGCCTGTGTGCCATAGGCCGACTCGCATGCACTATGGAGCGTCGTATTGACTACATGGTCCGTTCGCGAGGTCATTGCATGCAATACCGGCCAACCTGCAACTGATCTGGGAAATCTTGGCTCGGGGACGCCGGTGCCGACATCATTGCGGGAGCCTAAGCGTCGCATGCGGTTACCAGGTTTCAAACCCTATTCCGGGCAGAAGCCAGATGGCCACACCAAATGCAACTGCATCTTCAAGTCAACCCGCCCCAAAGACCCTGAACCGCAAACAAACCCCCCTCTTAGCCTATTCAGTACCTCAAAGCTAGGGCCCCCACCCTTTTGCCTCGTTTTTTGCTCCACTGCTCTCCCTACAGCCCAAACCCTGAAGGCTCCAATCCTATGCCCTGACCTCCACATCCCACATACCCTGAGGTCAACTGTCACCCTAAACACCGAGTCCCGGGTCCTTGTCCTGCCGGGAGCCTCCTCTAGATCCTGGCAGAAATCGGGTTTGGCCTTGGGGACGCACTTGAAATCATGGTGTCCCAAGACATACGATAGGTCTGTTCATAGAACTGGACAGGGATGTGCATCGACGTATGTGTCTCCATGTAATGTGTAAGTATGTATGAAGAGATAAAATATGCACAGCAAATGTTCATAAATACATAAACCAGAAACATACACAAGCGTGAGCAAATAAATACGTGCAACCAACGCAAAACAAACAAGTGAGCAAACACGTAAACATGTGCCATATTCGGGGAGCGCGGCGCTACAACATGCTACAACTCTTGCGGTTCACTTGTAGGGCAAGGTTGACACAATTAGCATGGAAGCCACATTAGGCATGGATGTGTGCAGGCCCCACCTTCTTCCCCTCGTGCATGTTGCCTCGGATCTGTCAGACACGAAGGCCACGAAGATTTAAGCATGGGTGGTTTGTGGCACAGGACGCAAAATCCCGGGTCACACTAGGTCCGCGAGGTTCAAGCGAAGCGACGACTACGATCGTTCTGTCTGCGACCAGCTCGACCATCTCGCTTGTCCTGACCCTGGCGGTCCTGGCACAGAGCAGCTGGGAGAACCAGCGGGAAAGGATATTGATGCTTCGATCGTGGTCGTCGTCGTCGTCCTATTCGTCGTTTTGTTGCAGACTGTAGTCGTAGTAATAGTAGCAGTAGTAGTCGAGCCTCCGTCCCTGTTGCCGGTCATGCTGGACGAACGCTAGTACTTTCAAGAGCCTCTACACCAGAGTCGTTGTGCCACGGCTGCCTGTGGATCACGAAGTGTTTCCGAGCTGTGCTTTGACGCCGTGGAGCTTGCAGGACGCATCTGGGAAGGCGACGTGGGTGAGTGAGTGAAGACACACGATTATGCCAGGATAGATCGCCTAAACAATGATACAGTGCCACGGCGACCGGGACAAGAGACCACCAAAAGGCCACCCAGGGACCACCCAAGACCACCAGGAAACAACCGGGAGACCACCAGGGCACCACGGCCAAAGTGCGTGCTACTGGCGAGAGCCAAAGGCACGACCATAATCCGTCCCCCCAGCGACTGGCGGGATTCAGATGTTCCGAGGCTAATGCGCCCGACGAAGCCTGTGCAAAAAAATAATAACACGAATCGAGAAGT